GGTTAATTCCATATCTTTGTGATTGTGAATGGTGCTGCAATAAACATTCAAGTATAGGTGTCCTTTTGATAAAATGATTTCTTTTCCTATGGGTAGATACCCAGCAGTGGGATTGCTGGGTCGAATGGTAAGTCTATATTTATTTCTTTGAGTAATCTCCATACAGGTTGCACTAATTTGCAGTCCCACCAACAATGTATAAGCATTTCTTTCTCACTGCGTCCACGCTGGCATCTATTGTTTTTTGTCTTTTTAGTAATAGCCATTCTGAGAGGGGTAAGGTGATATCTTATCGTGGTTTAATTTGCATTTCCCTGATGATTAGTGATTTTGAGCATTTTTTTCACGTTTGTCGGCCATTTGTTAGGCTGAGGCTTTTTATATTCCTCTGTCCTGCCCTGTTACTGAGAATTCTAGCTATAAGCCATTTTCTAACCTTGAGAGCATTGCAATTTCTATCCAATGCAGTATAGAATGGTAATTAAGAAGACTTATAATCTCCAGTTCCTACATCACATCAGGGATGAACCTAGGCCTTACATGTGAGCAGATACAGGAAGAAGGGATATAATTATATTTGGTTTACTGAGGTGCCAATATTCAATAGTTTTATGTTGTTCAATTAATACTTCATTTATATTTAGGATTGATTTTGAAAAGGAATTTTGTTACAGTTTGTATTTTTTGCTTTGTACTTTGTTGTTTGTATGTAATTGCAATTTTCATTTATTTGCACATGGAGTCTTTCAATTTCTTTTTTATTTGTCATGCTATGTTAGACCTTAGTTCCTAGAGAGAATGACTGATCCTTGTTTAATATGCCTCTGTTGTCCCCACATTTTGCTATTTTCATGTGGATATTGATGATGGTATAATAATTCGTAGGAAATGGAGGTGCCTGATGATCCCAGCCTGGGACATGGATCATCTGGAAAATAAATAAAAATAATTTGTGAAACCTGAATAACAGAGTATTTTAAGCTCAAGAATCAAAGATACAGGTATTTTGTGTTTATGGCCTATATTAAATGTAGGCTGAATGTGTGAAACTGGATATTTAAGAGTTTGTTTTCTTAAGATCTGTCCTATCAAGCACATTTCTTGTAAGTGGTGTTTAAAAAAAGACCTTTGCGGAATGAAGTCCTATGTCAGAGAGGAAAGCCAGTATTTAACGAGAGACTACTATCAGCTTGTATTGGAAGGGAGAAACTCAAATTTAAAGATCATAGCTGTTTGGGTCAAATACGGGTATTTTCTTCCTTTTCCTTCATACATGTGTTTGCGTCCTTGCATATACTTATACATACAATGAAGGATAGCTATGGAAGATGAATTTAATTTTTGTGAAGCCAAGATGGCAGAAGCTCTCTCTTTTTCCCCCTCCACTTACATATACCTGTCTTTTCCCATAACATTATCTGATTTAGTTTTCCTGAAACCAATCTATCCTGTTTACACTTTAGGCAATTGCAGCAAAGGTTGGCATGGACAGTACGACCGTGAATTACTTTGCCTTATTTGAAGTGATCAATCATTCGTTTGGTAAGTGCCAATGGCTAATATTAAGTTTTGTTTGGAGATATTTTATTGTACTACTGTCAGTCCGAAACTGTCTAGAGAAGAGCTTGAAGACGAAGGGAGATCCCACTCATCAGATCTGTCTCTAACAAGCAGACCAGCCAAATCCGAGTAAGCCCAGGTCATAAAGGAGTCTGATCATTGTTCATCCTTTTCCTCTTTCATAGGTACTGAATCAGATACTTTCCTGAGGTTCTTTTAAATTAGAGCTTCAAAATTCACATAGTCCAATGAAACAGCTTTCAAAAGAGGGGATGTTCTATTTAGCCACATGTTGTTTTAGTATACTTTATGCTTTTTGTAAAGATTTTTAAGAATAGCTTTTTGTTTTCAGAAGCTGAAAAGAGGCATACTGCTTAAAAGCCTTTGTTTTATTGCATACATTTAAGTTTCTATGTGAATAGATTTCTTCTTCCTAGGAAATTTTATTACATGGTGACAGGAAGTTTCTCTTTTATTTTATAAAAGCTAGGGATGGTGGTCACATTGGCTGTATTGAGACCACGAAGGGAAGGGTGTCTGAGGGCTTGTTCTTTTTTTTTTTTTTTTGAGACAGAGTCTGGCTCTGTTGCCCTGGCTAGAGTGCCGTGGCATCAGCCTAGCTCACAGCAACCTCAAACTCCTGGGCTCAAGCGATCCTCCTGCCTCTGCCTCC